GCAGACATTGAAGACAATAAAAGATTTTGAACTTAACAAATTTATTAACAATATAATAAAAAAATAAAAACACATAAAATAAATTTCAATAATATTAGAGTATTAGGCAAAACATAACATAATCATCATTCATCAAATATTTTTACCTGTACTCCAAAACACTGGCATTCTACACAACAAATTTTAAAAAAAATGAAAGTCCTAAATAGTGACTATGCCGCCTAAAATAAAGCAGGGTACCCATTCCATAAGTCCATAAATAATGGTCAAGAAAACAACTGAAAATTTAAATGTTGAAACCACTTAAACCGGCCTAACGCAGTTTTGCACTTAATCCACCCTCCTTGAAGAACGTGGACGTTGCCTACGGCAGTCACTCACAGGACAGCCCCCGAACTGAAGAACTTCACTCTGGAACCATAATCTTGTAACTGGAAATCAAGGCATCCTTTCACCGGACTGCAGGCATCCTTGGAAGGGGCTGGAAACGCTCACAAACCAGCGGTAACCAGAACTAGAAGGCATGGTTGAGCCAGAGTGACGCGAAGATACTTATAGCAGAAGTAGGAATGACGTCATCTCACGGCAACCAATCAGCTATCGGCAAAATCGGCTTTTCAGATGAACGTAACATTGTTTCGATTTTGCATCTCAATTTAGGTTGAGAACAGTCCGTTTTCAATGCAAACAGTGGCAGCAAGAAAAGCAGTAGAAGTAACTACTATGTTATATTAAAAATTTGTTCATTGAACGGGAGTTGGTTTGTTCCCTTGAAAATCAACTAATACCGATCAATGACAATATTAATATTTTTATACATATATACGGAACTCTAAGTTTTCAGTTAAAAATAAATTATAAGTTATATATATATATATATATATATATAATGTATATTTTCAGTTAAACTTCTACCCAATAACTTTAGTAATTCATGAAAGTTAATTTTGCGTCTAGTTAATTCAGGAAAATTAGTTTCAATTAGTTGTTTTCAGCTTTAAAAATATTTAAAAAATTTTAATTAGTTATTTTCAACTAATAATTGTATCGCCATTAGCAAAAATTATGCATTACTATCAAAAACATAGGTTTAAACCAAATACTTAATTGTCTATTGAAGCTTCAAAACGTATTTCCGAACTTCACTTTTTCTCAGCTAGCGTTACCGATTTTGCCCTTGGCGACCTAAAATCGAAATGGAGCCAACAGATTTCCCGCGAAATCGATAAGAGACCCTCTGCAGAAATAAACTCATAATCCCGATATCCCATACATATAGTATGTGCAAAAGAGAATAAACTCCGTAGAAGGTGATAAAAAAATTAATTTATGGCTTAATTGAAACAAACACAGAAATTAAGCTAAGCAAAACCATGTAAAAACAAATTGAAATGATAAAACGAAACTTAATTTTCATGTGAATTTTCAGCTGCTGACTCTCCCATTCTAGAAATTTCAATTTGTTTCAGACAAAGACCACATTTAGCTTTAAAAGCTTTGTCCATCCATCAATATCCAGTCTTTGTAGTCAGCTTGATGAAGCCACAGTTTATTGAAAATGCACTTTCCAGGCATCTCGTTCCTATTGGCGTCGGAAGGGTTGTGGCCTTCCAGGTTGGAATTGCTCTAATTTTGGCAAATATTTTCAGAATCTCCCCCCTCCCTTTTTTTTCTCGAGCACCTTCATCATCACTTTCGCCTCTTAAAGAACTTCCAGCTTCACGCTTTCGTCACAGTCTGCCTAAATTTATGGATAACACCTGTTTCGAAAGATTGCGTGAATAGCCAATCAGACACCGATACTTTCGTTCGGGTAGCTAAGTTTTTTTTTTTTTTTTTAATCGTTTGCAATGCAAATCCGCCAACAGATTGGTTAAGAGCTGTGTAATTTTAATTCCATATTCATGAGAAATCGTAATTCACACTGAGAATGGCAATCATTAGAAATGATAAGAAATGTCAAATGAGCAAAATTAAGGACCGTTTATTCATTTTGGCCAAAATTAAGGACTTTTAAGGACCAAAAATCATTTTTGAAAAAATTATGGACTTTTAAAGACCGTACGAACCCTGATTTATATACGTGGTCCAATATTCACCAATTTTTGCCTGCCCACATATGCAAATTCTTGCACTGTAGTGAATATGCTTATAATGGGTAATGCTGGATGCCATATCTGCACTGTTAATAGCTTCATAAATGAGAAGATACCAATCACCACCTAAAAAAATCTTTCAGGAAAATTGAAATGGAATGGAATGCCTATATGATAGACTGCTTGGAAATTGAACCTGAAAAAGCATATTACAGATCATTTCTCAGATATCAGAGAAAACTGACTTTTCTCATGGTTAATGCAAAAGAAATATGCCTCTAAGAACTACTTTCATGGCAGACAGCATTTTGCACTATCTTGCCTTATTTCGATTTCCTAGAAGCTATAATAACAAGCAATGAATGGAAACAATGAATTAGGCCACAATGAACATTTAACACCAAGCTACATATTATGAACTAAGCTTATGCTGTTGACTCAAACTGAAACACAGAAACATTTTACATGGGGTTAGAATCTTTTGTCCTGGACGGAAACAATATGAGATGATGAAAGGCACTTCCCAATCCTATATGGAAGTACTGATTGTAGCTTTCTGTGGACGAAATGAAAAAAATCATTCAAAACTATCCGAATTAGTTAAAATTTCAGCCACTGAGCAAGTATGGGTATATTTTACTTACAGTGTGAGGAATATTTTAATTTTATAACAGTTGATAGAGGGACTGAAAAGTAATGTCATTTCTGCGCATGTTGACAACAACATGCTAAGGGCAGAAGTGGAAGCAAATCCGTGTCAAACACTCTTAACCAACCTTGGTCGACCATCCAAGAACATTTAAAGCAGACTGGAAAAATAAGCAAAGCAGGTGTTTGAGTCCCCCATAATCTGTCCAAAGAGAACAAAGCCAACTGATCCATCACATGCAATGTATTGCTTCAACGGCACCATACAGAACCGTTTTTTTGATCATTTGATTACTGAAGACAAAAAATGGGTCCTATATGATAATCCAAAAATGCAAAAGGCAGCTTTAATAGGGGTTACAAAGGGTTTACAAAAAGGAGCTTTGTTGAAAGGAGTATTCGGGAACTGTTTTTTTGATGAAAGAAAACTTTGCGAAGGTTTTGTTTTTTTTTTTTTTTTTTTTTTTTTTTTTTTTTTTTTTGGGTGTTTGATGGAGTATTCGAGGAACTGTTCATTTTGAATTGCTGAAACCTGGAGAAACCGTTAATGTAGACCTTTAATGTGAACAATAGGATGGAGTGACCCAATCTTTAATCGAAAAATATCAATTGTCAATAGAAAAGGCGTCATTCTGCAACACGACAATGCAAGTCCGCACTGTGCAAGACGAACACTGGAAAAAATTAATGAATTCTGGTAGGAAGTACTGCCATACTCACCCACCATACTCGGCCGATATTGCAGCATTGGATTTCCATTTATTCGGATCCCTACAACATTTTCTTAGTGGCAAAAAATTTGAAAATTTGGATGATATCCAAAATGTCTCTCTCGAGACATTTTACTCAAAAACAAATTGATTTTTATCGGTCCGGATTGAAAATCTGCACATTAGATGGCAAAAGATTGTTGATAACGAGGGTGATTACATTATTGATTAAAAATAAAAATGTGTTAAAAATTTATTCATGTGAACTTAATGTAAGAAATCGACATTACTTTCCGGTCCCCCTATTACTTTAATTTAGATAACTTTTCCTATCAATTCTTGTTTCTCACCTATAACTCCCAACCAGAATGAGTTTTTAGAATTGCATTGAATGCAAATAAGTTAGAAGTAGTATTAAAGAAAGGTTCAAGTTACTTTGAAAAAGAGAGAGCTAGGAATCCTGAGTAGCATGCATTTGCCTTCGGGCTAAGCTTCTCTAGAAGTGGTTATGCTCGGCTGTATATTACATGCATTTTGATACTCACCAGCTAGTTTAAATTAAAGGCCAACTATGATATATTTGTGTTAGCTTCAGCTAAGTCTCTTTTAGTTAGTTCTAAGTTAGCTCTTATTTTGATTTCAAGCCCGAGTGGAAGCTATGTTGTAAGCCCAAAGAAAGAGGCCCACTGTTCATCTTATATTGAGTGAAATAAAGAGTAGTTAACCCTTCTTGAGTTTAAGACCTCTGTTATTTGAACTAGCGATAAGTCGCTTAACAGTTCCCTAGTCGCTTAACATTTACTTCAGTAGAATAAGAATGGGGAACTCTACAACAGTATCAACAATTATTAGATTTCATAATTAGACAATTAATGCACAGAGGTACCAAGTAATAAGTATTTATTGTTTCAGTGCCTTGACTTCAACAAGAAGATTTGCTTTTGCAGCAAAATAATGTTAATCATCATACTCTGCAGACTACCAGCAGCTGACTTCTCCAACAGGGAGTTTAAGTTATGGAATCTGAAATCTTAAATTTACATAGCTCTATTGAAGATGCGTGACTAACTTTCAGAAAAGAGGTACTAAAACACAAGTCTTGGGGGCAAATCACCTAAGGGACCTTATCTAAAGAGTGTCTGTTAACATTTCCTAGAAAAATCTGTTTTCCCTATGTAAAATCAATGCCAAAATGAGTTACTGACATATATTCCTAAAGCAGTGCCTTGACTTCAACAAGAAGTCAAGGCACTGCTTTAGGAATAATGCTTTAGGAATAATGAATAATTTAGGAATAATGATGCATGAATAAAGATAGCAACAAGAAGATTTGCTATAAAGTAGTTTAGATATGCAAATGTTGCTCAGTATGCTTAAATTAATAAAAAAAAAAAAATAAATAAATAAAATAAAATAAAATAAAATAAAATAAAATAAAATAAAAAAAAAAACTTTCTAGACTCTAGATACTTGCTACACTGTTTGTATTATTTACTTATTTTGGACATCTTAGTTCAAGTGGGTAAAAAAAAGGTAAAAACATGGGTAAAAAAACTACAAGCTATGAAAGTATACGCATTTTTATTAAACATCTGAAATACAACATTAACTTACTTGCATAATCATTAAGGGTATACATGACAGTAATGACATTATCCAGACAAGGCCAATGATTAGGATTGCACTTCAGGCCCTAAAATCAAAAGAAATAATGTTAAAAAATCCATAAATGCTGCTCATAAACTTTTCTTACAAAAAATACTTTAACATATATTAAATTTATAAACAATACATACCAAATTTATAAACCTGTTGGTCAATATTTGCATTCTACATTAAATAAAAATTCCTATTCACAAAAAATATTACTATGAATGACATATTTGTATTACCTCTTCAAAACACAACCTTGCCAATGAATAATTTGATATATTTATAGAAGCTTTTCCCATTCGATACCACATGCTGACATCCGTGGCATCAATTTCGAGTGCCTTTAAAAATACAAAAATATTAAAACACAGCAGATAAACAGAAATGATGAAAAAGTACAAACATAAATCTCCACAACATAATTTTAACTACAGAAAAAATGCTGATACATTTTAAATTAATTCTTTTTAAAAAATTTTTTTTTATAAAATTGCCCTTGCAATTTTCAAAGTGTCGTGTGACAGCCAAAATATTGAAGATATTAATATCTGTTTACCTTGTTTAAAGAATGTAAAAAAAAAACTTTCTTACTAATACTGGACTTTAAAATTGCTGCAGGTACAGTTAAATATATTTTCAAGAATTCAGTTTGTCAAGAGAAAAGGGTTAGTTTGATTGTTTTTTAAAGATTAATTTAAATACGGCAAAGCACTTGAGGACTATTTGCCTACAAACAAAGAGGGACTTAGATTTCTATTAGTATTCCTCTTCATATCAGAAAAAACAAGTCTAGCCCCCAAAATTTCCAACTATAAAATTTGAGAAGTTCTTCAACTATGTCTCCTCCCTCCTTATCTGCATAAGATAAGCTGAAAAAGCTGACAATTATAATCTCCTTCATAAAGTCTATGTTTGCCACAATAACCACACATTACCATAACTATTCCATTACAACAAAGGTTATGAAAACAATCCATATGATGAGAATATATTAAATCCATTTTTGTTACGGTGACTGTTAGTTATATTGGCCTTTATCTGTAGAATATTAGAAGTCATTATGAGAATTAACTGCATATAACATTAAAGAATTGTGCATTATGATGCAGAACTTGTACAATTTTTGTTAATAAATTTAGTCACTCAGTTCTAAAAAAAACAAAATTTCTTTTTATATTTATTTCTATATAGTTATCAAAGTACTTTTAAATGAGATAAAAATAAAATTAGTAATTGATATACATGGTATTTATATGAGTAAATATAATAATTTAATAAGTTCAATAGAATATTGTAAAAATACAATTAATATGAAATAAAATTTAGTAAGAAGACTTATTCTGAAAATAAACAGAGGTGGGGAATCTATTTTCCCAAATTTAAGTTTCATTAAGTCAATACATTTCATTTATTGCCTGGGAAATATTTTCCTAAGCTAAAAATAAAATTGAAATTGAAGGAAATTAGATGATCTACTGGAAACCAAAGGATGTGGTGAAAAACTGGCAGTCTCCCAGTAAACACAGGAGAGTTAAAAACTATGGAACAGCTTTACAGGCATAAAATGGGATGGAAATAATAATAACAATAAAGGCAAACACATCAAATTTTGCAATTTTTGAAGCACCTTTCAAGTAGCAGAAAGAATTTTAACCTGAAGAGCAGATATTACATGTTTTCCTGTATCACATTACAGACAATCACAATTAAAATTTATCTAATACTAAAATTCACATAGTTTAAATACATCTTTTAACCTACTCAAATAAGCCAACAAATTATTCAGATAGAATTTTAGAGAATATTCTTAACTCCTACATGTGCTAAAAATTCAAACTTAACAGAAAAATTTTTAAAGACCATTGTTAAATAATAATAGCATGAAGAAACATATAAATACAGACTACAAGAATTTACATCCAGGTTAGTAAAAATAAAATTCATTCAAATCATAAAACAAGAAGATGTATATAGATTATATAATATATATATTGTATCATAAACAATAAGATATTTCATTTTATAATCTGCAATTTATAAACAATTTTCTTGAAATTTTTCACATTCACAAAAATGTATCTTCTTTGGTTAATGACATTAATTCTAATTCAGTTTTTCCTAATGCTTTCAGAAGTCTAATATCATAGGTTTTAACATTTGTATTAGTATTTTCCTAGATAAATGGTGCTACATTTGTTTTTGCTTTGTGCTGCCTATCACCATTCCAGACATAAAAAAAAAAAAAAAAATTTAAAAAATAAATAAATAAATCATAATTTCATTGCATAATTTTAGGTTATGATATACAGCCAAATGTTAATTATTTATAAGAAAATTCAGTACACTAAATTAATGATGATTTTTCAATAACATTGCTCCAGGTGCCAGATTTTCATTTCACACCATATAAAACATTCATTTCCAAAATTTAAGGAGTATGTAAGTTTCCATACAAATTTTAATAAATTATTATTATAGTAATATAATTTGTCTTCAGATGAAGGATATAAAGTTTGACCTTCAATTTTTTTTATTTTTATAATGTTAAAAAATACCAATTTTTAAGGAGGAATGCACAGTGTAGCATACATTATAAAGAATTTTAAATTATGAAAATATTTAAATTCAAATATCTGAAACAATTATTGAATACCTCTAGGAAAAATGTTACAGCAGCATGATAATCTTGTTTTCCATTTGATATTGTAGCAAGATTTTTATACACTAGATATTTCAAAGTAAGCGCTGGGCCTAGAGGTCCATCTTCTTTTTCATCATTAAGTTGGGCCTGTATAAAATGAGAGATTTTAAAAAGAATTACGAACTAAGGTAGCCTTCAGCATTGCAATAGTACATATACATCACATGTCTACAAAATTTTAGGACTTATTATATTATCATTACTATTATCATTTAAAAAATAAATATTTGAAAGAAATTTTATTACTCTTTAATATTTTACACATACTTCTTCTAATGCTGCATACCTTTTGGTATATTCATAAACTTTTAGAGGTTTATGAAAAAGTCTACATTTAAAATATGTTTCGACATCCCATGATTTTTTAAATGCTTTTAAGTTTTATCACTAATGCAAAATTTCACTTAAACAGAAAGTGTTTCTATGAGATGCTAAATCTGATTACTAAGGAGATGAAGAATAAAAGCTGCATTTCACTCTGAAATAAAAATCCTGGAAATAATTGCATTGTGTGAAGAACAGTAAAACCTTGTTTCTTTTCTAGACTAAAAAAAAAAAAAAAAAAAAATTTCCCCCCCCCAGAATATGGATCCATAGCTCCTTTGCAGAAAATGAAATCCACAATCTTTTTTTTCATTAGTTACTCCCAGCCAATCAAAAAAAGTCACAAACAGCTTTCACTCAGAAAAAAATATGTTTTCCTAGCCCTAACCAAGACATACAATACGCAGAGAAAACTGGAAAGAATATATACATATATTCAATTAACTCTGAAAGGTAAATTAAATTCTGTATTAACTTTAGGAAAAAAACTACACTATGGATTAAAAAAAAGCAAAACACATCACCTCGTAAGCAACTGAGAAAAATGCATTATTTGCTATAGATAAAAAAATATGTTAATATTTTCAAATCCAGATGCTATGAAAAATGTTAAAAATAGTGAATTTTATTTGCGATGTAAGAGTTCTCTTAAATTTCTCTGCTTAAAAATATAGCAATAAAAAATTATGGCATTCTGTTTGAGCAACTAAATGAAATATAATTATAATTTTTAAAACTTCTACAAAGAAGGCAAAATTACCATTTCCTATAGAAATGCATAACAAAATAAACTACAATATAATTTCCAACAGAGGTGCACATACATATATATGGATTCGTTAAAATTCAGTTGTTAGCAGCAGTTAAATGATAACTATTTTATAACATCATCAGCAATCAATTATAGAAATTAACAGTGTATGCTCTCAGAAAATGGGCTAAAGCACTTCAACCTGGTAAGAAATACTAGCTGATGTCTGAAAATTAAATGGAAAAATAACTAAAATTTCTCCAGTGTCAAAGATTTTGAATTTAGCAAATTTTAGGGACATAAAAAAAAATTCAGCTGTCTCAAGCAGAACTTGCAGAAAACACCCACAGCAGTTTCCATCTACAGTAATTCATATCTATACGAAACAAGGCAGAAGTTATATAGCAAGTAAATCAAGAAAGCTTGGGAAAGCTATTTCTTGATGTTAGTCTTGCATAATGTATTTCTGAATAATTGAAAGCAAAGCATTTGATTTAATTAACTCATAAATAAAACACAAGTTTCATCTACGAAATGAAGAAAATTCCTTTGACAGTTATTCAAAGGAAGATAAAGTCAATCGTTTTTGGAAATTTCATATAGCCAATTCCTACAGATGAAAATATTTCAATTTTTACAAATATAGAAATATTAGATAATGGCACAGTTAATATTGGGGAAAATGATGTTCCAGATGAAAGCTCTGTCTTCTTTTCCAGTTAAAAATCTGTCTTGTTTTCCAGTTTTATAAGACAGCCAAGGTAGCCTGTTACTTATAAAATTGAAAAATAAGAAAGATCAAGAAGGATTATGAGAAAACAAGACTTAGAATTAAGAAGATATTACTTTAGTTTTACGAAGGCTGCATGCAGAAATGTGGTAAGCAGCTATGAAAAAAATATGAAAAGAATTATGAAAAAAATATGAAAAAAAATATGAAAAATATGAAATGAATTCTCCATCGGAACAAAAAATCTGGAAACTGATTGATACACAATTGATTTTGTTTATTCACAATAACATAGAATTAACACTATAAAGACATCTTCATTCATTCATTTATGCACGCACACACAGACACAGAGTTGCAATATCAAGAATCTAAATACCATTATATCTTAATATTAAAGTATGCAGATCAGCATATATTATTAAAGAAAAGATTTAGAGACAGAAATAAGTATTAATATTTGACTTTGGTACTTGTTGATTTTACTGATGACTAACAAATAATCACCAAGTCTGGAAGCGCTTATTGCCAAGTGATACAGCAAACTCAAAAACAAACTTTTTCATGTTCCATACTCTCGTAATAATTTACCCATATGCCTAAAGTTTGAATTTTAGATTTTTCTTCAGTTCATGAATTTTCATGCTCGTGAAGCACACATACATAATTATGATTTAAAAATAAAATCCAAAATCAAGTTGTTTTCATATCGTTCATAGGAAACTGTTCTTTCTGGTTACAAAATGATAAAAACTTTCAATTTTATAAATTTGTTGCCTTCTTGCAACGAAAAGATATTTTACTCTTTACTCAAATTTGCAAAAATGGCATGGAATGAAGTTACATACCAGAGCTGGCCACAATAGCGTTGGTAGAGAGAGGTAGTTTGCCGTGGGCAGCATACTTTTAGGGATGGCACTTTTTGCATAAAAAAAATTTAGTTTACAGGGGCAGTTCAATGGATCCTCGAGGCAGGTGAAGAATACTTAGGTTCTAAAGATTGCATATGAATAATCCATAAGGAATTAAATTGAGAAAGAATTTTTACACTAGATGAAGTATTCAAAGAAATCACCATGATTTCAACAGCTATTTACTTTGGTTGTATCTCTTTTAAACCATCAAAACTTTTTAATGCAAATTACGAATATCAACTAATTTATAATCACAGTAATGCTGACAAAGAAGAATTCCTAGTTTAAAAATAACATATTTCACAGTTTTATTTCCGTTATTTTTAGGGAAATCAAAACTAGAAGGGGAATCCTTTTGAATTCTTGCAGTTAGTTAATCTCCAGAATAAAGTTCCAAATATTGTAACACTAGTGTGCATTTTCTTTTATTTAAATATTATTAGTTGTGAGAAACATTTCCTAAATAAAAATCATTTAAAAAATATTAAAGAACTACAAATATATTGCATTTAAGAAAGCTTTCTCGTAACAGCAAGAGCAATCAAATAGACCTCTATAATATCATTGATGATTTTGTGAGCAAATAATAATAACAACAATAATTTTAAAAAGTTGGAATTAAGGTTTTTCTTCAAAAATAAACACAGTTTTAATTTATTTCCCTACATTTCCCCCCCCCCTTTTTTTTTCCAGTTATTTGTTTGTATATCAAGCAGGATGGAAAATTCTCAAGGACAGCTCCAGGGGCCAAACTCCGAGATCACAATGGTTGACAAAGTATAGTATCAGGGTATATATCAGGGCGCCCAAACATCATTATGATAGGAGATGTATGGTAGAGTTCACTAATGTTTCAGAGCCAAAAATCCATATTTAGAGTTGTTTCTAAAATTACGAGGAAGGTTTTTCACACAAAGATACTCTTGAAATAAATTGATGAGAACTTCTTATTTTTATGCAATTAATATGGTTACATATGAATACAAATAAATAAATCTTATTTCTTCTGTGCTCAAAAAAAGTGTGTCGCAAAAAATATAAATTTGAAACTACTGTAGAATACAGCAGAGCATTATTTCTTCAGGTAGAAAACTAAGCATTTTCTTCTGGTTTCCTTTATCTCAATTCAATTATAATTGTTGTCTAATTTTAGCAGAAATAAACAGAAACTGCAGAAGCATGCATTGATCTTTAAGAATACAATAATGTAAAAATTATTTCATTTAAATGAAGAATAAATTACTAATTTTTATAACAGATCAGTGCATTTTCTTTATTTTTAATTCATACACAGTCTTTCGGAAAGAATAAAATACACAATATGGGACAGTGGCGCTGGAGTTCGTGGGGGGGGGCATTTTAAAATAAGATGTAAATGTTCTTAGGCTTTTGATAAAAATTAATAATTTTGTATTTCCTCATAATTAATGAAAGGATCAGCATACCAAGATCAAATTTAACATTAAATATATGAATTAATTTATTAGCTGTGAACTAAGTTACATGGTTTCCCTCCCCCCCTAAGTTTGGGACATTCAAATCTTCAGGTCTCGTGAATCTCCACAAAGATTTTAAATTCTTGAATCTTAGAGCTGTTTTAATTATTCAAATCTTTTGAATCCTATCTTAAGAAATCATTAAATATTTTAATGCAAAACTTTAGAATAACAAGTTTACTGATGCCCAACAAAGATTTCACTAAAAAAGAATGTAAATGCTATTTCAGTTTTATCTGAATCAATAGTATCACTCATGTGTTACACTATTTTCAGAATGGAATCCAGTGAAATCTGACAGACATTTTTAAGTAATCAGTATGTTGCATGTCATTGAAAATTCTCAAAACTATCTCTCAAACTGTTTTTAATTCTGGACATAGATAATGTTATCCATAGACACATACACAGAATCGTCTTTAATTCTACATATAACATCTCATGCAGTGATATATAAATGCTGCATAATGTACATATTCCAACTCTCCATCAGTCAAACTCTTAGCCATGGCTGTTCAATTTAGAGCTGTTTTTCAAATACAGCATTATTCTACATTGACATGTTGAGCGTGGCGCCGAATTTGCTTTCATTTCCGTTCAGCCGGCAGCGAGCTAAGCCGTATATTTGTTTAGAATGTTTCAATACATTTTATTAAAACTAAATTTGATCACATTTCATTGGGACTATATTTATTTTTTAACTTTAATACTGTCGGAACGACGCCAGCCAAACGAAAATTTCAGTGCTGATCCCCAGGGACCAATGCTGGCCACAAGGAAAGTTCACTGCAGATCCCCAGGGACCGACTGCGGCCATACGAAAAATTCACTGCTGGTCCCCAGGGACCGGTGCCACGCTCAACATGTTAATGGCACAAGAAGAAAACATACTTGTGATTACTGTTATGAATTTTTTTCACAAATGCCGATATAACAAAAAAAAGTTTAACTTTTTAATACAAAAGTTTAAATCATCGCACATTCGAAATTTTTTGGATATACACAAAGGTTCGAGATGAAGGCCTTTAGCGGTTTGGTAGGCATGTGCACAATAGTTTATTTCTGAGTTACCATACTACTCTGATAACTACTGAAAATTGCATTGGATTTTTGGAAATTCTACTTAATATATGATCTAGTTGTTTTACTGCAATACAGCTATCTCTGCTTCCATCACGTGCACATACATTTCATCAACTGTCTTTGGCTTTTAGGATTTAACTGAAACAGCCAAGTTTCATCACATGATGACCCCATAAAAGCATTATGGTCAATCCCAAGAGAAACTTTGCAAAATATTATCATACATGTTCTTCCCAATTTGCTATCGGCTGGACAACTGAAGGTCTACCTGACTGTAACACCTCACTAACTTAAACTGCAGAAGCTATCAACACACATTATTTTGATTTATTGCATTTTCCCCGTAAACTAGCAACAGCTTACTGTGAATGGATATTGTTGAGTTATATTCCCAGATTTTTAGATCCCAGATTTCATTGCATATTCGAGTAGTATGGTGTCATATTGATCATTTATGGTGATTTACTTGGAACAACAGAAATAAAAATTAGGCAAATATTAAATGGTAAAGGTGGTGGGTGCTTCTTACAAAATTTCTTTTACCTAGTGGTTATTATTAACAGCAACAGTGGATTAAACTTTCCTTTCTGGATCTAGGAATAAAAAAAAACCTTGCAAATACTTTACTTCTTTTCTTAAACTTACTCTTGCCAAATTAATAAAATGAAATCTCAACTGTCAAATTAAAATTAAAATAAATAAACAAGTTCAATTTGAATTTTAAAAGCTCTAGCATTTGTTTCTTTAACAACAAAAATGTATAAACTGAAAAATATTAAAATTTTAAAAAAAGTAAATTTAATATGAAATGTGAAATTTTATAAAATCTTATCATCACTGCTTGGTTTTATTTTGAATTATGCAGATAATAACAAACAAAAGAAATAGTTATAAATTCTACAACTGATATAAGATATTTTTTTTTAATGAAAGCTATAATAAACTTAAAAATTAAGCTTAAAAAGAAAATTTCTAGAAAGTCAGTACTAACTCGAGTTACAAATTCCATTTTTAAAACATCTTTGAACATTTTTTCAGAATCTTCAATTTTTGCCTCACTTTGCTTCTTAAGAGCCTGATGATATAAAGCATAAGCCTCTTCTTCCTAATTAACAGGAGAAAAAAGATAATTTTTTTCCACACTCTGTTTATTATGAAACACATAAAAATACATATAATATTATTTTATACTGAAGACATCATAAAAATAGATAAATTTTAGATAAAATAATAAAATTTATTTTGGTATCTAAATGACAGGAAAAGTAAGTAAAACTTTGGAAAATGACTATGTTTAATCATTTGATATAGTTAACCTTATATAAACAAAATTTACTTCAATAGAATTTGCACATCTATTATTAAATAATGAATTTGCACATCTATGTGCAAATTCATTATTTATGTGGTATGAATTTGCACATCTATTATTAAATAATAAAGAATCTGATGTATTTACTCATACTGTAAAAAAAGGGTACTGTTCTGTTAACAGAACCGGATTCAGAAACGTATGTATGTATGTATTCATGTATGCAGGTGTATAGGTGCACATAAACACGTATGTGTGTGTGTACACACATGCACACGTGGATACATATACAGGGTGTTTGGGATAAATTTGACATATTTATAATTTATTATATTTTTCCATAGGTTAGAGGTATTGACACACACTACTCGTCATTTAAAAGTTTGGACCCTTCTTCATTCATATACAAGATGTCAGAAAGGATGGATGACTGGAACCCACCTGAATCATGGAAGAGAATAACTTGCATCATGATGATTCATGCCGGCCATCAAAATAAGGATATTATGACTGCTGCCCAACGCTCCCTGAACACAGTAAAAACAATCAGGCATGAACTAGAGACTTGCAATGATGACTACGAGGATGTAGCAAGAAGAAAAATCCCTAGCAGATGATCTGATTGCGTTCGTACAGCAGAATTCCTCGCAAATCTGCAGGAACAGGTGTTGAAGAACCCTGGCATTGGAATTCGGACTTTGTCACGTGAAATGAATGTTGCAGCCTCTACTATGAAGCTTGTACTCAATGAAGACTTTCGCTACTACTCATACAAGCGGATTTTCTTTTTCCTTAGGAAACTGTCAAATTTATCCCGAACACCCTGTATACATTTCTGGATATGGTCCTGATAACATAAGAGTATCCCCCCCCCACAAAAAGTAGTATCTCACCAAATTTTGAACACACACAGTCTTCCACCAAACATGCCCATCTCAAAGCCTGAATTTGATTTTCATTTATTTCACTTTTTGTGTGAATTTAATGAACTTTAAATTAAAAACTCAATAATATACAAGTTTTATGTTGCCGCTCTACAGCATACAATATTTACACTTCAAACTTAATAAGATAACTTGGCAGTATAAAAGAAGTGTACTACCACTCAGCAAAAGACTCAATATTCGTCTTTCAAATGCAATCGCATTGTGGAAAAATGGCAGGACCTAGACGCATCAAATTTTGAATGCATCCAGTTCTGCATCTCAACATGTGTATCTCAAAGGCCGAATTTTTAATTTTTTCTTAAATATTTCACATTTTGTGCAAATTTAAGGAACTTTTTATTAAAAACTCTGTGATACAAAAGCTTATATTTATGACTCAAATTTAGCAGAAAAACTCAGATATACAAAAGAAGTGGTGTTTTTATAGGCAAAACAATATACTGTTAGTCTTTCAAAAGTAATAAACAAATGCAGTAATTTCAAAGAAATATATTGCCACTGCCTGAATTAAAATATGCTTAGCTTCCATGCGGCAGTAGGTTGTCATTCAGTGAAGCACAAGATATTTTTCTTAAACTGCTTTCAAAACCTAATATCTATAAAGTTATGAGAACGTTCTTGTGCAGTTTCATACTATTTTTACTCATGAGTTATTTTTACTACACCGATAAGCACAGCAGGCATGACTTTTCTTAAGGTAAATAAATGTGTTGTTAAAATTTGGGTTCTGTTGATATGCAAGAAAGATACATAAAAATTATCTGTATGGTAATATGAAAGGTGTGATTAAAAAGGTCCCCTTTGAGAGTAGTGTGTATTTAAATTATCAAGTTAAAAGTCAATACTGTACAAAATCCCAAATCCGGACTTCCAATATCCGGAATGATCTAAAATCTAAACCTCTGGTAAATCTCTATTTCAGGGGTTATATTTTACACTTGTGCATTTGATATTATTTTATAATAAAATATGTGAGGAGTTGAGTCCCCATTCTTAATCTGACTTTGGCACTAAGGCAACATGATGAATTATTATTTACTATCTTTTTGCTTTTATCATTGCATGATTACCCACACACTGCAATTTGAAAAACAACTCAAGTAGTGACGTCTAAAAATTTTTTAGTTAGAGTATATTTAAGGGTGCCCTTAGAATTATCGCCAGGTTGTTGTTTCATTTATCGCCAAATCATTGTTTCATTTATGGTAACTTGAGTAGTTGAATGTTATGGAAACCCTATTATAATGTAATTGGTTACCTGATTGCGGTGAATTTAAATGATGGGAAAAGATTTAGAAAGGCTTGTTTTGTGTGTTGGATGTTGGTTAATAAGAAGTACATTGTTATTTTGTGGTTTACATTGTAAAATGGCTGAATGTAGCAAGATTAATTTGAAGTTTCTGTACGATTTTCAATGAAAGGGAAAAAAGCATTAATTGACTGGTGTGTAAATGAAAGGTTTACATAGTAGTCATTATAAGTGTCCTGTTTGTATGAAAGAAATGCGTATGGTCAAACTTCGGAAGATACTGGATATTTTTTACTCTTATTTTTGTGAATTTATATGGCCATTATATAGAGACTCCAAATTCCAGATTCTAGTTCAGATAATTTTAGGATGCTGTTAAGGAATTTTGTTTGACTGAAGACACGGAAATGTGTAAATAAGGTTTCCTTTGTGTAGTGCTAAGATGAATTTCCTTTTTTATGTTATTTAATTGTTTGATTTAAAATGTAGTTCATTGCGATCATATATTTTTTATTGGCTGCTCCTTTGACTTCTTAAGTGAAATAGATTGATGTGTACATGGACAAAGTCAAGGCAGTTTGCCAAGTTTGCGCAAATCTCTGATTTTTAAAAAAAAATAGGTTGATCTGTACATGGATACAGAGTTTGTGCAATTCTTTGAATTGTTATTTTGGCTTTGTGCAGCGTCGACAGACCATGGTAACCTTTCATACTGACATTACATTTGGCACTGATTACAGACTTGAGCTAACTCTAGTGCAGTGTTTCTTAACCTTTCTAGCGAGTCGCACCCCATTGAATCTGAAAATATATCTCCCGCACCCCATTGAAAAATGTATTTTAATTTTTTTAGTCTAGAAAAATACATTTTTTGCAAAACTTATTGTTTATTGAAAAACATTGTACATTTTATATAAATACAAAACAAAATTATTTTTATTAATGACTAGTCTGTTGTTGTTTGTTCATTATTATACTGGCGAAGCAAGGTTCCTTTTTTGAAAGACATACGCGTAAGTCACCACTTGCATTTAAGCGATTTCTCGCTTTAGATTTTATATGCAAAAGCGATGAAAATCCCATTTCGCACAAGTAGGTGGTAGCAAAGGGTAAGAGTAAATGCAGTGCTCCATTCGCCAATTCTGGATAACGTTGTAACTGTGAACACCAGATTTGTTACAATTCTAATTGTTCGAATTCCATTTGAACATGTCCACTTGCTTGCATTTCAATAAGTTGATCTTTTTTCAGATCACTATCATCCATCAAATTTAAGTCAAATAGAAATGGATCCAGTTTCCATCTCTGAGTTTTGGTAATATTTCCGGTAGAAAAATATCCATTGAATGATTCTCTCAATCGTCTCAAATGTATTACAATGTCGGGTAATGTCGTCTCAAATGTATTGTATTCTTTTCATTTTTCGCAATAACAGAATCAAGCAAGGGAAAGTTTGCAAAATTACCCTTTTCTTCTCGACGTATCCAAATTTCTAATTTTGCGATAAATAAAGATAATTTTCCAAATTTCTAATTTTGCGATAAATGAAGATAATTTTTCACTACATATTATTATATTTATACCAAATCCTTGCATTGATAGATTCAATTCATTTAAATGGCTAAATATGTCTCTTACGCAGGTCAGCCTCAGCTTTGCATCATTACTCTCAAAATCTTTTACTAAATAACAATTTTGACTTGTCAGTAATTGAATAATTTCCTCACGCAATTCAAAAACTCTGTTAAGCATGTGACCCTTAGATAACCATCGTATTTCGGTGTGATATAGGAGCATGGTACGATCAGCACCGATTTCTTCACAAAATGCACGAAAAATGCGATGATTAAGCGCTCGCCCTCGGATGTATTTTACTACATTTACTGCTGTAGTTAGATGTTGTTTTAAACTTTTTGACAATGCTTTCGACGCAAGTGCATGACGATGCAACATGCAATGCGTTATTATAACTTCCGGTAATTCTCTTTTCATGTGTGAAAAAAATCCTGAATTTTTGCCTAACATTGGTGGGGCTCCATCAGTGCATATTGAGCCAATCACATTCATTGGTAATTGATATTTGGTAAAAAAAGTCTTTGATGCGATTGAAAATATCAATTCCTCTCGTATTCACCTCCAGTGGCTCACAAAATAGAAATTCTTCTATCACCTCTTTTTCCTTCACATACCTGACAAATACCAAAAGTTGGCTAAAATTATCAACATCAGTTGACTCATTCAGTTGCATACTTATTTTTAGTGGACTGTTTTTTATGTCTTCAATTACTTTATTAAAATATCTTCACTGAGATTTTGTATTCGTGATCATATAATATCATTCGATAATGGAATCTGTTAGATTTTTTTTATGTGCTTCCGAATCTAAAACTGTTTTAGCAATAATTAAAGCAGAAGGTTTAATCAACTCTTCAGCGATCCTGTGAGGTTTCTTTTTTTTTTTCACATAAATATGCCACTTGATATGACGCTTCTAATAAAGGTTTTTGAATTGCTGGTCCGCACAATTTTAGGATAGTTCCACTGGTACCAAACCGAGCCTTCTTTGACTTCAAGCTGTTCATGCTATTTGCTTTTTT